TTCAGTAGCTTCAAGTCCTTTCTCTTCACCCAATGTCAGTGCCCTGCTGAAGATTAAGGTTATTTCGTGGTAAAAACATAAATAGCTTTTAATTTTATGTTGTTCATACCTTTACAGTCCAGTTCCTAAGATTTTGGTCATTTCAGGTGCCAAGAAACTGGACTTCCTGTTTCGATTCGTGTTCGAGTAGGCGAAAGAACCTTTGGCCTGCATAAGGTATGGAGGGAAAATGTAGATGCAATTAAATTCATTTAGTTTCTGTAAAACTTGCATTGATGTTGATTTTCATGTATTATGCCAGCATCCATTGTTTTCAAAGAGCGGATACTTTCAGAAGAGATTGACTGAATCGAATGAGCTCGAGTTGCCACAAGATTTCCCTGGGGGACCTGTAACATTCGAGATGATTACGTTGCTTATCTATGGTTCCACTACATTGGTTGATCCTTTCAATGTGGCCGCCCTTCGGTGTGCAGCTGAGTTTCTCGAGATGACGGAAGAGTACTGCACCGGCAACCTCTGCGAGCGGTTCGATCTCTATTTGAACCAAGTGGTGTTGCAGAGTTGGGATGACACGCTGATCGTTCTCCAGAAAAGCCAAGCGTTGCTCCCCTGGTCCGAGGAGCTGTTGATCGTGAGTCGGTGCATCGAATCCTTGGCCTTCATGTCCTGCATGGAGATTCTTGATCCAGAGAGGAGAAGGGACAAACCAGTTGTGACGTTGGAAGCATTGGCGGGTGAGGCTTGGAGCAGTGGAACAGTGAAAGCAATAGCAAGCAAGGACTTATGGATCAAGGATCTCATAGCTCTACCATATGGATTCTTCAAAAGGATAATTGGTTCCTTAAGAAGGCAAGGAATGAAAGAGAAATACGTGACACCCATCATCGTTTTATATGCAAATAAATGGCTTCTCTCCAAGAAAACACAACAGTTCTGGGAAAATTCATGTGAGGAAACCGACGACTGTGACTCAGACAACAAGGGTTCTGCCATTTTACAAGGGATTCTTGAATTACTCCCCATTGGTGAAAAAACCGGTAGGTCCATTCCTGTTGGGTTTTACTTTGCAATGCTTTCTAGATCTTTAGAATTTGGTTTAACAAGTGAGAGGCTAGTGAAATTGCAAGACCAGATTGCTAGTATGTTACACTTTGCCCAAGTGGAAGATTTTATCTTTCCACATGTTAGAACAGAGTCCATTTCATCAAGCAAGGAATTGGCCATTATGAAGAACATTTTCTCTACTTTTGCATCGTTTAACATGGAGACAAACCCTTCTCCTTCAGCAAGTAACTCCATCGTTGCAGAATTATGGGACACATACCTTTCCCAGATAGCTTCTGATCCACAAATGGGGCCTAAGAAGTTCATGGAACTCGTCGAGTTATTACCGATATCTTACCGTCAGACACATGATCAGCTTTATAGAGCAACGAATAGCTTCCTACAGGTAAATTTTCGATAAGTTATCGCCATCATCTAAACGTTTTTGTGTATTCATGTCTCAAGCTAAACTTGGGCCGCCTATTGGTTATCAGGCGCATAGGGGTATAACACAGGAGGAGAAAGGATCAGTCTGCAAATACCTCAACTGCGAGAAACTTTCACAAGAGGCCTGCATTGAAGCTGTTCAAAATGAGTTGATGCCACTGCGTTTGATTGTCCAAGCTCTTTTTTTCAACAACTAAACACCCACCAAGCGTTTAAAGAATGCTCGGACTCATTTAGGTTCACCGGTCAATTCTCCGGGAGCCTGTCAAGCTCGAGATGTCCGAACTCAAGAACCCTGAACCTTGAAGAAAGTCCATATAACGACGCGGTAGAGTCGACAAACAGCAAACCACTGAGCCTGTTCCTACAAGATGACCTTCCAACAATAGAGAGAAACTACGAATCAACGAGCTTTAGACTTCAGAACCTTGAACAAGAGCTCATGGCGTTGAAGAAAACCCTTGAATGGCATGAAATGTCAAAGAAAACGGATTTGAAACCGAACGAATCGCAATGTATGAAACCGTATGGTTTAGAAAGAAGGTCAGGAAGCAAGAGGAAGAACCCTTTGGGAGAAGTAACAGGTTGCATAGGTTCTGTAAATTTTGCTTCACAAAGAAAGTATGCTAGTAGGCTTATTAAGATCTTTCGTAGATTGTCATTGTTTGGGATGAGAAAACCAAAGAGAAAGACAGGAACTAGTAAGTCAATCTAGCAGATTAAATGTTATTTGAGCCACCATCTCTTTATGAAGTTAAGCTTTGGTCGCGAAACTCTGACATCATGTATATATACATTAGTATTCTACCATAGTATACGAAATTTAAATAAAAAATAGAGTGAATACATACAATATAAGAGTACATCATCTGTACATATAAAAAACTCCAGTTTATAACTAGGATATTATCAATAACCAAAAACAAACAAAAAAAGAGAGCAATAAGTTGTAATAACAAATGTGGGTCATCTGAAACATCCTAAGCACATGGTGTAATAGAATAAGATTGACCAAGAAAGAATTTTATTACACTCGCTGTCCCATGGCGGTGGCACCATATGCATGTCCATTGGCTCCATTCATGGTGTGAGCAGGGAGCTTATTCGTCTTCTTCCTCCTGATAACAACGTACCAAGTGAAAGCTTCCAACAATGGGGCCAACACTCCCAAGAATATGAGAATACCAATGTAATTCTCTCCCATTTGTCATCTGGATTAAGGATGTCGAAACCCTCGAAGATGTTGACGATGCTAAGGATGATGACACTATAGCCGATCAAGTGGTGGAAAATGTTCCAATACAATCTGTATTTGTAATCCTTGTTTGGCCTCAGAAGCAAAGCAAACACCTGCCAATAAGTATTACAATTAAGAGTCATTAATAATTTTGGGATTGGAGTAGTCTTGAAGAAAAAGTTTCTCATTTGGTATACGTAATCCTGATAGCAACTACTCAGAATAAGTGTTGGATACGAATATGTATACGAGGAGAAAAAAAAATTACCTGAAGAGTTCCGAAACAGAAGAGGATAATGCCAATGGTCCTATGGGGATCGTGAGTGATTCCAGGGGAGTCACTGCCAAGCTTAATACCGGTCGCCCACCCGTATACGCCGATGACATAGGCCGAAGATTGGCAAGCAACTTGGAGACATAACCATTCCGGGTCTGCAGATTTGAACAGCTTCATGTACCTAGCCGTTATGGCTCCCAACGGCATCAATATTCCCCAGCTGACAGTGTTGAGTACTCCATGAACCTGGAAAATTCATGCAACCCAAGTTTAGAAACCTGGAAATGGGAATGAATAATTTTTGTGTTCGAATAAACTTACGTTTCTTCTTCTTGTTCTGGAACCAGCTGATGAACCCCCTCCAGATTGTCCCGTAAAGAAATTGATACTTCCAGCGGATTGAACACTGGCTCCAGTAGTGGAATGAGGTTGTATTTGGCCATTACTCACTCGACCTTCCTGCCAAACCTGGCTGGTAGACAACAAGTTTTTGGAGATTCTCAAAACGGCAAATATCGTCATTTCGTTATTCTCGAAAGTCGCCGAAAGACTTGGGACCGGGAAGCTCAAATCCGTCTGTTGCATGGAAGGGCCCAAGCTATCGATCGAGGTTGTGAATGCCTGAGCCACGCCACTGGAGTTGACGAAGGCAATCAAAGCTTGCGTACCCACCATTCTTGGTCCACCGGGATTGATCCCCCGTCGACAGTGTGACGAGGTGGTGCCGGTGTGTCGGTAAGCAATCTCAACTGTCTCAGCCGATTCATCATATGTCCAGTGGAGGAAAATGTTCAAAGCTGGAAGATCGCTGCAGTTGGCGTATTGCCTGTTGTTGGGAAATGTTTGGGAAAGACAGGTTCCGGAAGAAGACGATGAAGCCAAGAAAAAAAAACAGCAGCCATGAAAACAGGACAAAGTTGCAGGCTTTGATCTGTATCTTGAAACAGAATTACCTTACCCCACCTTGGAGACAGAAACAAGTTTCCAGGACCGATTTCCGGGGGGGAAATTTCAGAAAAATTGTTTCTCAAGGCAGATTGTTGTGTTAAGTCCTCTGGGAACTCAATAACAAATATATATATGTATATATATATATATAATTCAACCTGTAATAAAGTAGAGATAAAAGGAGAGCAGATTGTTGTGTGAAAGAGCTTGTATTCTTTGACTAATTTAATTTATATTAGTGTGATCATAATATAATTAAACTTAGTCTTGATTTTCATTTATAAAATGTGTTTTCCTTTTGGTAGTTAAAACAAAACAAGGGTTTCTTGTTAGATATAATATGCATGAAGATGTCATTCTTTTAGCAATTCAATACCTTCTTGTTTTGTTCGACCAAAACAATGCAGATGCCGTCTCCTGTTAGGCCATTGCCTATGTGTCGTTTCCTTCACCAGCCGGAAGCGTTTCGGACACCACCAACTGTGCCGAAGGCCGCCTCGTTTTCTCCAACCGTAAAAACTGAAAAATAACGGCTCAAAATGGGATTGAACAATTTAATTATTTTATTTAAATAAATAAATATTTAAATGTCATATTAATAGATAAAAATCGTTATTACAAAACTTATTAAAACTCTTTTTACACATATTGCAGATACAATTATCTTAACTCATAAATTTTAGGAAGAACAACATTTTTTTAATCATCGAAACTTATTGTTTTCTTATTCTAAACTTAGATGTTTCCTTCATTAATTTTTAGATGATATAGTTTAAGCCGTTTCACCTATATTTCTTGTTGATTCATCCAAACAACACTGCTTCATAAGACCTTGACTAATATTTGACAAATTCGTGTCGTTATATCATACTTAAAGTATTTTATATTTATATAGATATTTTAAAACCCTATTATGTAGTATATAGTATAATCGTATTGCCAGATTTTACCGATTAGGTTGGAAATGAAAATGGTAAGACCTGGGAATATGTATATGAACCAACCGTTGGTCCCATTCACACCCATTAGCAAACCCTAATATTCATGGCTAAAACCTCAACTATAATCTTGCTGCTCTGCAGTTTAACATCTCTGGTTTCCATCTCCTCATCTGAAACTTGCTCAAACTACTCATTCCCAGGCAACCAAGTCTTCGCTTCCTGCATCGATCTCCCAGTTCTTCAAGCATCATTACACTGGAACTACAGCCAACTCACCACAAAGGTTCAGATTGCATACAGAGCCGTCCAGATTCCCAGGGGATGGATTGCATGGGCGCTTAACCCAATGGGAAGAGGCATGATCGGTTCTCAAGCCCTGCTCGCTTTCCGCCATAGTAATGGCAGCATGATCGCTTACTCTACTTCGATCGCAAGCTACAACCCTCCGATGCTACCCTCAGAGCTCGACATTCCGGTTACGGACATCTCGGCCGAATATGTCGACAAACAGATGATTGTATTTGGTGTGTTGGGGCCTTTGGGGGAATCAAACGAGTTTCAACCATGTATGGCAAGGTGGGAGTACGGTTTCGGACAACATTCCTCAGGTACATCCGTTGTCGGGTCAGAACGTTGAGTCACTCGGACTCATCAACTTCCTCTCATCTTAGGGACAAATCTGAAAGAAGCATATTTTGGTTATTGAAATTGAAAGTTTATGAAATTTTCAGACATCATTATCAGCATCAAAAAAACATTTTACCTGGTTGGTTCTTGGTGGAAGTTGATCGGCCTTCACTTTACTGTTCCTACTAATCTTTAGATTTTAAGTAAATTGTCCAGACGATTTTTCTTAAAAAAATTATTTTTAATTAAGTGTTTTAAAAAGTATCGTCTCGATTAATTTGGGTCTCCTTTTAAAAAATCAAAATAAAACATGGTTCGAGGGATCACCACCAATATTTGATTAAAATATGATTGGGCACCCAAAAACATATTTGTCATTTTAATAAAAATATTAATTTTAATTAAAACAACAATTTTACTGTCTATATTGCCAAAAATTTGAGTTCGGGAGTCGGTTACGCGTGGGGAATATTAACACTCCCACAGTGCACTAAATCGATACCTAGTCGATTAATTAGTTGTCTTTACAATGAAATTTACGAATTCGAGTTTAATTTAATTTAAGATCCTTGCCAATAATACTCTTTGACTTTTAGAACGAAACATAATAATATTTAATTATTTCCTATTGAGAGTAATCGACCTCTCATGCCTTAAAGCAGTCAATTCATACTCCAATTGAAATGAAAATATTATAATTTCATTCTAAAGTTCATTATTAATTCCAAATTCAAATACATAAATAAAAATAAATTAAATTAAAATAAAATAATTAATAAGTCCTCTTTTTAAACATACTCCTTGAATTTTAGTAAGGAAAACGATAATATTTAATTATTTCCTATCGAGAAGAAAAGATCTTTCATGCCTTAAAGTAATCATTTTTTACTTCAATCGAAATAAAAAAATATTACTATTTCCTTTTAAAATTAATTATTAATTCAAATGCATAAATGATGATAAAAATAAAATTTAATTAAATATGAATTACCAGTCCTTTTAGAAAGAAGAAGGATTTTTTATTATTTAAGGACATCGAGATCAAACCTTTTATAAGTTCTAACGACATTTTCTCGATATATTTAAATAGACGAATATTTCTTTTTCTTTTGTTCCCAAATTTTATGTGTAGTCAAATTTTAAGGTTTCACTTAATGGGTTACACTTTCATTTTAAAAATCATCGGAAGTAACATTCTTATACGTTAAGACAATCACTTCACAATAATCATAAAATGAAATGATATTACCCTTAATACAATTATTTGAATGAGTCGAGTGATGTTTATGAGGATACCACACAAATTAATTCAAATTAAATCCTAAACCTATATGCAACAAATTTCCCAAATATTTTTATTTAATGATACCAACATATATTTTATACATGGATAATATTCAAAACAAGTACTATTCGTATTATGCAAATATAGGGCTAAATAATAAAAACGAAAATGTTAGTGTCACAACAACAAGTCAACCAGACATAGAACATAAAGCACAAACATCATATATTACAGGCACCAAAATCACAATAAAACCATAAGCAAGCAGGGGACTAAAATAAATATATGCAAAATAAAATATTTGAAAGAAAAGATCAATAAAGTCTCAAACAATGGCTAACATATAAACATGGGAAAACTTGAACTCAAAACAGAGATAATTGTAACTTGCTTTTTACTGACTAAAATGGAAGTGTACAAGATACAGATGGTTGTGGAGAGGGTTTACCCAAGCTGCTAAAACGCGCAGCTCTCCCCCTTAAACGGCGTCGTTTGACATAGTGTATATAACCCTAAAACCAAGCAAAAAAATAGTCCCACCCTCATTTTTCACTTCTTCAGATTTGGTTAAAGAGATAAAAAAAAATTTCTCTCTACTTCCCTTGCCATCTTTCGGCCGTAGAGGTGGAGGACCAAACCTCTGGCCGTCACTTCCGACCACAGTCAACGGTGGCCGGAAAAATTTTAACATTCTCAAACATTCTTCTCCGTTAAACCAAAACTAAGACTCATCGACTCTCAAACCCCATCAAAACACCTAGATCTACAAATTTACCTTCGGTAACTTGGTCTCCGGCGATGGAAGCTTTCTGACGAACCACCGACGATGAGGCTACCAATAAAACTTAGGTGATTCCTTTTTCTCTCCTTTGCTTGTTTCTTTTTTTTAGTTTTTTTTCTGGATCTCTCTTTTTCTTTCTTTTTTTCTTGTTTTTCCCTTTCGAACCGCCCTCCCCTTTTTGACCTCTGATGTAGCCTCTTTATGCAACTCTTGAATCTGAAAAATTCGGTGAAATAGGAGGCGGGAAATGATTTCCCCTAAACTACATTAAAAACCATATTTTTTTCATGGATTTTATCCATTTTTTAATGTGTTTGTTAGGGATTCGGTTTATCACTATAGATGATATTTTTCTTATTTGTTTTGCTGTAGATGACGATAGTGGAGCTGTTGGGGACGACCTCAGCAACAGTGGCCGACAGTGGAAGTTCTGGCAGTGACGCAGCGTCGGTGGAACCCTTGCTGGCGGCGACGGCTGGAAACCCTAGGGTTTCAAACTCTAGTGGTTTTGGGTTTTGTTGGGCTTGGGTTTGGACCAGTTGGCCTCTTGTTATTGGGCTCAACTTGGGCTTGTTGTAATGGCCTACAAAAATAAGAAAATAAAAATAATATAGTTAAATAATATTAATAATAGTAATAATAATTAATATTAAAAATATCCGGACAAAAACGAGTATCAACACAAATGTTATAAGATGTAATTCTAGTTTCCTTCATTAATCAAGACTTTGGAGAAACAATAGAGAAATTTAAACAAGCAATATATGATTAAATAAATTTGTATTCAACGGTTTCGATCCAATCTGATTTAATGAAATTGATTTTTTGTATATAGAATTCAGATTTTAGATAGGTTGAATTTTTTTATTAAGCTTGATTGGATCTGGTTGAGATTATAGAGAACTCATTCAGCTCGATCCAATATAATTACAAAGAATATTTTTTTATGTATTTATATATTATTAGTTAGATTTTAATAATATATAAAACATTAAAACTATGATATTAATTTGTCCATAAATTTTCTATAAAAGTTCCATATGGTTATAAAAGATATTTTTGCCGTTAAAATATCCATAAAGATATTAGAATGGAAGACGTATCTGTCATACACGTCTCTATTGAATACGATTATTTGGTTGCTTTTGGCATAAAATAGAGATAAACAACAAATGGACCAAAGTGAGGGGTCAGTGGGTTAAAGAGGCAGATGGGGCAAATGGAATGTTGGAAAAGGAACAATAATTTACTTGGGAGTAATAATTAATCCACAATCATGAAAGAGATGCTTCTAACATTTTATAAAGTGGAGAGGGTGCTCATATCATTCACATTCTAATCTCTATAGCTTAGCTTCAAAGCCAAGAAGAAACGATTTTCAACCAAATATCTTGATTAATTAAGGTAATTGTTTTAATTAATTCAGTTATAAATTATAAGAACCAATTTTGATGGAGTCTTTACTTCAAAGCTAAGCAGTTCCACAATCATTACAGGAGCACTGCCAGTGCTCCAACCAGTCTGATAAATGGTAAAATCAAAGCTTCCTTCCAATACTCAACAACCCTCGTCCAATTCCATAACCATGATCATTCTCTTCTTTCTTTTCCTTTTCATTTCCCATCTAAGCACTGCATTCTCAGCCCATTGCAGCACCGTCACCGCCACCAAAACTTTCCAAAAATGCATCACACTCCCCACACAACAAGCTTCCATTGCTTGGACATTCCATCCCCACAATGCTACATTAGACCTTTGTTTCTTCGGTACTTTCATTTCTCCTTCCGGTTGGGTCGGGTGGGGAATCAATCCCACGTCCCCGGAGATGACCGGTACGCGTGCTCTCGTTGCGTTTCCTGATCCTAATTCCGGGCAGTTAGTACTACTGCCTTACATTCTAGACCCGTCTGTCAAGCTCCAAAAAACTCCGCTCCTCTCTCGACCGCTCGACATCCACTTGATTTCCTCGTCGGCTACGTTGTACGGTGGCAAGATGGCTACTATACACAATGGTGCCACTGTTCAAATTTATGCCACGGTGAAACTCGTACCGAACAAGACCAAAATTCACCATGTTTGGAACAGAGGATTGTATGTCCAAGGCTACTCCCCAACCATCCATCCCACGACATCGAACGACCTTTCCTCAATAACTACGTTCGATGTCTTGTCTGGCTCAGCCGCTACACAGCACAACAACATGGATATGCTGAAACTCGTTCACGGAATCCTCAACGCCATCTCCTGGGGCATATTACTCCCGACAGGAGCCGTCACGGCACGATACTTACGCCACATACAAGCACTAGGACCTACATGGTTTTACGTCCATTCGGGGATCCAGTTGTCGGCATTTTTCTTCGGAACTGTGGGGTTCGCTATCGGGATCAGGTTGGGTGAAATGTCACCAGGAGTGACTTACGGACTCCATAGGAAGCTTGGATTCGCAGCATTTAGCTTGGGGGCCCTTCAAACACTAGCTCTGCTGTTCAGGCCTAAGACGACACATAAATTCAGGAAGTACTGGAAATCTTACCACCATTTTGTAGGGTATTCATGTGTGGTTCTTGGGGTTGTGAATGTCTTCCAAGGCTTCGAAGTAATTGGGGAAGGCAGGTCCTATGCGAAGCTGGGTTATTGTTTGTGCTTGTCGACATTAGTAGGTGTTTGTATAGCTCTGGAAGTGAATTCTTGGGTGATATTTTGTAGGAAATCTAAAGAAGAAAAGATGAGGAGAGAAGGACTGATTTCAGGGTCGGATAAAGGTAGTGGAATTCACAGTGGAACCCATAGTGGAGTCCTTGGCTAAATAAACAAAACACAAGAAAGAAGATTCAACACCAGAGACTAAGCATCATCTTTGGGGTTTAATCTTTTTATGACATCAAAGGTTTAAGGAGTTTCCGAGGCTGCTTTGAACAACAGGTTTCTACTTGTTGTATTTATGGCCCAATATACATATGCTTTTATGTAAAGTTGAAGCAAATTTTGCTTTTCGACGAGATTTTTGTTTTTGGTTCGTACTTTCAATGAGAAGTTTCAAGTATGTTGTTGGAACAGATCATATTTCTTCTGCAACCTGTTGTACTCGTTTTGTTTTGATGGAAAATTTTGAGACCGGGAAGAACATTGTAGTCGTGAATTCGATCAATTCATTAAGATTACCGGCAATACCTCCGGCACATCAACGACATGAAAGATGAAGCATCAACGGTGGATGCTAGTAGCCAGAACAGTCACATAATCATTTAAATAATTGGCTCGTGCATTTTCTTTTCAAAGTCAATGGGCTAAGTTCTTACAAAGGGATATATTGTCCCCATTAGTTTCCTTTTCCCCCTGGGTAATAATTATGTCACCCTCGTGTTGCTTTGTAGGGTTGGGATTTTTTTTAACAATTTACAGGTTGCAAAAGAATTCAAATTAATTAACTAAAAACACATTTTAGAAAGGGTTCATCCCCTTTTGGGTTATTAGATAATGTAGAGAACTACTTGAGGAAATGGCAGCTTGAGAATGAATAAAAGATTATTTTAAATAAAGCTGCAAGCCAAATGGTGTCCCTAATATTATTATAAGCTAAAAGCATTATTCATAGTTGAATGCAGCGGGGGAACAACTTGGATCATGCTACATATCTCCCAAGCCATGCATTTTGCATTTTGCATTTTGCATTTTGCAGATATTTAAACCTTATTCTTTGCCAAATTGACACCAAAAACAAGGACTGAAAGCCTGATTCGAACCTGATTTTAATTAATGGCTATTGCGCATGAAAGAGTAAGCAACTTGACATTGTAGATTGAATATAACAAACAACAGCAGCATATGCATAACTAATTATGAACAAGGTTTCCGTATTCAGTGTCAAAATCAATTAAAAACATTCATTTCAGTATTTCAAAAGAAAGTTTCAACCCTGTTAGAACAAAAGTTTCAACAGTCTTATTCGGAGGAACCCTAGATGGGTATCCCTTTCAATGTTTCACACTGATAAATGAACAAGAATCTCTCAGGTACATTCTGGCTGAAAGACAAGCCCAAATAATGGAAGAAAAAGGGAAAACAAAGCATAGCTGACAAGAACCCACAGCTTTACCAGAACCATTACAGAACATAAAATCTAATGGGAAAAAATAGTTTATAATCTATATCGTTATGCATCACCTGCCTTACATGACATGCATGGTATGTCTTCTGACTATATCCCGGAATCTGATTTTACATCTCACTCGAATACCAAAAAATGAACCCTAAAATAATAACTCAAGCCTCAAGCCTCAACACAATCCCTTATGATCCCTAACTCTAAGAATGTATTGCTCCAAAAACAGGCACTTCATTTAGCTATAGATAACCGACTTTCTTAAAACTTAAACATTTTGATTAAGGTGGGAAATGAGCAGAACTCACATATTGCTTGCGTCACAAGTTATCTCCACCTACAGTATAGTGCTAACCGAATTAATCTTCTAGGTAACAATTCCTGAACCAAGAGAAAACCAAAATCAGCCGGTGTAAAGAAACCAATTATTTATAACAATGTTTTTGGGAGTACACTACAAAGCATGTTTTCTAGGATAAATTAAAGGAGTGCTTGTATTCTTCAGAGGAATAAGATAGTAGTAGATCAATCACAAGAGGCACGAGAGATCTCATAATTAAATTAATGATTAAAATAACAACAATTACCAGTTGCAGAAAACGAAGTTTAAAATTGCCGACCAGGACAAGTTCAAATAATGAATCTATCAATAAGTAAAATTTAAGATAAATTGCCAAGCATTAACAAAAGAATGATAAAAAAACTTTAGTGTCATATGAAAGGTTTTAAGGTTCTTTTATTAATGCTTGTATAACATTTAAACAAAATTATGCTACTATCTACCATGAATACAAATAACACTGACGATACCAAACACGAAGTCTTACCTCTAGTTGATTGTCCCTTATTAACACTATAACCACCAACATAACCAGGAGAACTTTTACCCGGAACATCAGAAGTGGTACTACCAAGTCCATAACCCAAGGAACCAGAACCATCTAGCTCAGATGTTGATGATGGCCAATTGGTATCCCCATAAAATGAAGCACCACCATAAACATCTGCAAAGGCTCCATCATAGCCACCATTTGATGCTGCATATGATGATGCTGGCACCATATTAGTCCCAGTGTTTCTCTCATACCCTGCAGCCCCCAACCTGAAGCTGTTATCACCACTTCCATAACCGAAATTCACGCTATTGCTAGTAACATTATTCCTTCCATCTTGACTGGAAATTGGAGAACTCCAATTAATTCCACTATTTCCAAAGGTACTTGCTGCCATATTCCCACTTCCAGATCCTGCATAGGCACTGGAACTAGCAGCATTTGCATTATAATTGAACCCTCCATTTCCCCAAAGATTCCGGGTCACCGAGCTGAAAAAGGAAGTATTACCTCCTCCTCCATTACTTCCATCATACCCTACAGGACTACCAAACCTATTTGTATTACCAATATAATAAGGTCTCATTCCTCGTCCATAGTTACTAAAATGTGTACTGTTTCCAAAACTTGGATTCAACCCTGGCTCAAAGTTCATGTCCATTCCAAAATCAGAACCAAAAGGAGGAAACCCACTTCGACCACCAGCAACTGGACTGAATCTACCATCCATCCTAAGTCCATAGGTTCCAAGGCTATTAGGATTATATCCCTGAGTGTAGCCATTGAGAAAGTTGTTGGCCCTATTCAAACCATAGTTATATACACCAAGGGGGCTACGTGTAGGGCCAGGTGATAACTCTTTGGGAACCGCTCGTTTAACCTCGACCATTTTACCATTCAGTTCATGGAAATCTTTTAGCAACACTTTATCCACTGCCTCTTCTGAATCATAAGTGATGAATCCGAAACCCCTAGACCTTTGAGTGTTGTGATCATACATCACTACAACGTCTGTAACATTCCCAAACTGATCAAAATACTTCTTGAAGTCACTCTCTGTGACTGTAGATGCTAAACCTCCTACAAAAATCTTTCTTGTGCGCCCTGGACCAGGTGAACCCTGGATGCTACTAGTACTTCTACTCATAATGTTCTGGTCATCCCTAGGAACTGCCTTTTTTGCCTCAACCTGTGAACGGGTAACTCAATGATGAAAATTAATCCTTTAGAGCAGAAACTATTTCATCTCAATATAAGTAATTATACTAAATTACAAGAATTACAAACATAACCACTATCTTTGCAAAGAAAAAGATAAATAAGACGAAGCATGAAACCGTTACACAGCTTAATTTTGAAATTTAGTAGGACTCGGAATCAGAACTATATGAATTCCAGCAACTACAATACCAGGTTCATAAACTCGATAAGGAACTCATTACTTAAGAAAGGTAATAAACCAACGAAAAGTACATTGGGCAACATTAATATAAAGAGGTTTGCTTAAAATTAAAGATCAACAACTTACCATCCTGCCATCAATATTGTGTTTCTCCTTGATGACTTTCTCAGCAATGGCTGGGTCGGTAAACACTATGAAACCAAAACCTCGAGCACGCCCTGTGGTCCGATCCTTCATGATCACTGCCTCTACCACTTCACCAAAACCGCTGAAATACTCCTTGAGGCGCTCTTCATTGGTGTCCCAAGATATTCCACCAATAAATAGCTTACCATTCTCAGACATCTTTCCCTGCATTACACAAAAACTAGTTTGATCAACACAAAGTCCAAACCAATCACAAATCTAAACCAAATACAAACTTTCACAGTCAAATTCATTATTGGATCGAATGCAATATATAAAAATATCATTGCTACAAAAACAATAAACCAATCAAAAACCAATACCATATGTTCCTTCTTCATGAATCAAGTTAACACATCAAATCAAAATCATGTCTTTTATTGACTATAGCAATATAATTACAATAATGCAGATAGCATTCAATACCTTTTATTTAACAAAAAGTGTAATCCGATACAAGATGAAAAATTCTCTCCGATTCAAAGCTTAAAACAAACAGATCCTTCGAAGGTCAATAAACCGAACAACCCAGAATTTAGCTTCACCTGGAATTCAGAAATGAAGGAGGCAAAAACCAAAAACCCAGATTGATGATCAATCAGAAACCTGATATTAGCTGTAAAAGTTTATTGGAAATTTAAGCAAAAGATTTAGAACACAAATTCAGATTCATCAAAACAAAGAAAGAAACCCACCAATCAAAGTAAACCCAACTGTCAGGTCTTGCAACAACAACAAAAAAACCAAGATCTGAAAGGAGGCACAATAAGAATAAGAATAAGAATAGAGGAGGTTAGTTTCATCCTCTTTGTTCTCTTCTATTTGCCTTCCCCCTCCAAATAATAATTCCTTCTTCCAATTTTATTCTGTTCTTTCTTGTAGTAAAAATCTCGATTTTTTTAACACCCAAAATGCAAATTCAATTAAAACAAATGTCCATATAAATAATAAATTTGTAATACATAAATGCAACAAGTAAAATATAAGAAAACACCTTGTTTGGAAAGAGAGATTTTTTTTTCTTTTTTTGAGATTTTAGAGACTATAGTCTATATATTATGTAGCCATATGTAGAAAGCCTCTTATAAAGAGAATGGAAGACATACCTTTATTCTTTTTCTTCCTTAATTATTTTTATATATAGAAAATTTGATTTGAAAATATATTTAGGGTAAACTACTGAAATGATCACTTTTGTTTACTTTTGGTCAACAATTTTAAAAACATTGCATTTTGATCACTTGTATTATTGATTTATTAAATTTTGATCACTTGTATTATTGATTTATTAAATTTTGATCACTTACATTATCAATTATTATATTTTGATCAGTGAGTCGTTAATTTGATTAGTTCGATTATGTGACATATTAATAAAAGGGGTTAATTTTTAATTTTACCTCTAAATTTTAGATAAAATATCATTTTGACCTCTAAACTTTAAACAAAATATCATTTTAGGTTTGTTTTCCCGCATTATTTTCTTAATTTCATTTGACTAAAAAGATGGTAACATGTGTCATCATCTTATTGGTGAGCACTAATTCATAAAAAAAGACATATAAGTTATTGATGTAGAGAGAACAAAATACGTAAAAAATAAAAAAAATAAAAAATACATATGCGTCATTGTTATTTTTTAATAATTGATGATCAAAATAGAAAAATATAAATGACAATTTTATTAAAAATAATAATTTGGTAATCAAAGTAAAATGATAATTTTGGTGATTGATGATATAATTTACCCTTTATCTTAGACTAAGATAAAATTTTAATTATTTTAACTAGTCAAGAAGTTTATATTTTTCTGTCCGAAAAAAATAACTTAAAACCGCAGATTTAATGGTTTTTTAATAAATAAAAAATCGTGGTCTGTTATATAAAATTTAAGGTAGGTTTTTTTTTTCTCCTAATAATTAGATTATGTATGGTTGAGTATATTTTTATACAATATATATTTCTTTTCCTCTTTGAATTAAAAAAATATTACATTTCTTATGTGTCACATTAACAATAATATCAACCCAATTAAACTCGTTCAACTATATAAATAAATGTTTTAAATATATTTATGAAGGTTACTGTTATAATAATATGTTTATCAAACATATTAAAGTAATAAATAAAATTATCAATTATCATATTCATATATATTGAATTAATTCACAATAGTACGAGTATACTTTGTGTGGCTTTTATTCTAACCATAGTCTTTACTTGTATTTTACTTTTTAATTTTAATATGTTTCAATGGCATAATAGTATTTCATGAAGCTGTCTTGGAACCTACTTCTTTCAAATATTTTTATCATTTACTATCAAATTATAAAGATGAACTCTATTTTTTAAATTAATTTTTTTTTGTATCCCAAAGTGTCCTCAGGCTTTGCCTGCCGAGGTACTGTCGGGCATGAAAGGTAGGGACCTCTCCCAAGAAGGCTTTTTGCATCCACAAGGGTTCGAACTTGAGACCACTTGATTAAGCGACCAGATCCCCTTCTACTTAGGCCAACCTTCGTTGGTATTAAATTAAATTAATTATAAATTAATGAAAGAATTAATTCATTGCCTGTGGGTTACAATTATATTTTGGCTTTTTGACATTTTTCAAACCTACTTTTGTACGTGAAGAGCTTGGTCAAACAATTATGGAGGTCCATTATATATTTATATACCAAAGTCTGAAAAACTTTATAGCAAAAGGGGAAAATGATCAAATTCTAATATGAACACGTGTGAGCAAGGTTCCCAATCTACAAAGTAGTTTGTATGCATGAGCCGAACAAAATCTGAATTTAGTTCAGCTAATGCATGAGCCGAACAAATTCTAATATGAACGCACCGACAAGAATTGCGTAAATATAAGTAGTAAATTTATTTATTTAAGTTTTTTATATTTAATTGTATAAAAAATCATTGATAAGTAATAAGTTTCTTTATTTGTTTCCATCCTTAAAATGTTTAAAATTTATCAATAATTTTAGTTTTAATTAAAAGAACTTTGAAAAATATGTAAACAAAAATGAAAAATCTTTAATTAAAAAAATCATTCATATTTAGTGTAGTTTATAAAAGTACAAGGAGTATTGGTATTCCTCTTATGGGTATTTGTACTTCTTTTGTTATTTTTAAATAAAACTAGTAGTTACTAATCGTTGGGCCTGACGGTATCGATACATTGACCATGATATTAATACTACTATGCCAAGTAGTATTGGTACCCTTTTGAGTATCAGTACCCTTTGGGACAATACTTGCTATCGGGAGATGTCGAGTCTCTTTCAGCACTAAGTTGATACATTCAACAAGGTTGGTAGTCATATGGTCGTAACGTCGACCCTCAACATCATATGCTTGTGACCATATCTCCCTAGGGATTTCAATTGTGAATTCATACACATCATCTTCGTATCTTCTCAAATTTTCAAGTCGTGCACGGAAGTTTGGTTGGAGTAAATGATACCTTAAAAAGCAGTAAATTAAATGTTATTGAGAAATAAAAAACAGAAATAAAGCATAAATAATTAATGAGAAATGATATAATACTTACCCATGTTGATAATCTCCTTTTTTATCTTTTTCTTCTTAAACCTTTTCATTGCATTCGACACAATATGACGTATACAATAGGCAATATATGCGTGCGGAGGCGTCCATCTATTTTCGGGTCTAGAAATTATGCTTAACAACCCAGGCGACCGATTTGAGAGCAAACCCCATCTTGAGTGACAACATGGGAACATAAGTTGGAGAGAGAAATTCATGGTTTCCTCCGATTCATTTTTAACAATGGTGAAGGCAATGGGAAAAATATTTATGTCTTCATCTTGTGTAACGGTTATCATCAAGACGTGTCTGTAGACCCCATACAAAAAAGTGCCATCGACTTGAATCATTTGTTTGCAAAATCTAAACCCTTCGATGGCTGACTTAAACACCCAGAACAAGCCACCAAAAATTCTCTTCCCAGGGATAACGTCTCCCTCAAGCGTGACTGCAGGATGAGTATAGTACCTAATAATGGTTATAGGGATGAAAAATTACATTGCTTGCAACAGACGTGGTTGATCATTATATGACTGATCCCAATCACCAAACAACAAGGTCATTGATTTCTGCTTAGCCATCCATGCCTTGTAATAAGTCGAAATATAACCAAATGTATTTCGAATGGATGCCACTAACACCAAAACGGGCACTTTTGAATTTTTTTTCCACCAACAACTTCACATAAAAGCATATGACATCTGAACCTAAATATTTGTGGTCTTGTGTCAAGGAGGTTATTGTACATGTGTGTTGTTTATTGAACCTTGTGACTTCCCACAACATCTTCCGTTGTAGGTATGATACTCGTATCCTCTATTTACAACCAACATCATGGTGTATACACTGTATGAAATAAGTCTTTTGATCCGACTCCGCCACATAGAATTGAAGATGAGCTTTGATGCAATACTCCTTGATTGCTAGTTGTGCCTCTTTTTTTGTTTCAAACTGAGACCCAATTGCCAACTCAGATGATCGCTCGTCTGAAGAACCCCAGTGGGCAGTATATAACTCTTGCATATCATATATTTCAGGATTCCGCATAGCATCGTAGTTAATGTCATGCATTACAAATGCATGATGATACCGAGGCAAATCATGGCGAGACATTTCAGGTTGAGGGTATGTTTTTGCCCAAACATCTGGAGCATTCTGCAATCCTTTACATCTTGAAAAAGTTATCTCTCATACATCAACCTCAACATCCACACCTTGTCCTTCTGAAGCAACCTAAAAAACATCAGACTCATCAACTAATGGTGTGTCGTCATCATTTACCAACGGAACAATATATTCATTATCTTCGCTAAATTCAGCAAGACTTTCATCGAATCGTCCAACAAGGTTATCATCACCATCACTTGCATGTGGTTCATAGGGACCTGCTTCTTCTGTTCTTCGAGCTGGTACTGATGATGTCGGAATATCAGTTGTATTTGTGGTTATGACATACATCTCCACCATATTATTATTTGATGATTGATAAAGTCCAAACATAACAACAACATCGTCATCATCATCAAGCTGGACTTTTCCATATGTCATTGGATTTGAAGAGATCAGGTGTCGATAACTTAAACATGAAACACAAGCCCCAAGTTTTCTTTCATTTTTTTCTTAATTTGGCGATGAGATACATCTACAGGGAACATCATATTGATAGGCCTGTGTGACTTAAACACAACACCAACATCAGTTTGTAGAATTTTTTCATTATAATGGACAACTGTGAAGCATTTGTTGTTCATTGTTTGAAATGTATGTGGTTAGAAGAAAGTAGTATGTTGTGTAAGAGATTGAAGATGAAAGGAGTGTGTTGTGTGTGTAATATATGAAATGAGTGTGTTATGTATATTAAATTTTTAGCTGTTGGAACTCATCACACCACCGTGACGAGTTCCATTGAATTAAAAAAAATTATTCGTTCAACAAAGGTCAACAAATTCAAAATTATACCCGTTGGAACTCGTCAAACCGGCGTGACGAGTTCCTTCAGTAATAAAATAATATATATATTTTTACAATGCTTTTAAAAAAAATATTTTTTTTTTGTTGGGACTCGTCACTCGGGCATGACAAGTCCCTTAGGATATATTAAATAAATTCAGGTTATGGGACCTACGTGACACGACCCATTAAAAAATATATCCAATGAAACTCATAACGCTGGCATGACGAGTTCCATGGATACTGTAACATTTGTCGTAAATCCCAAAATAAATTTTATGTTGCCCTATTGGACTAAATAATCCACTCGTCTGGATTATTTGCCCATTTCCACTGAAATAAAATATATCTAAACATAAATATGGATAATTTCTAATTAAATAAGGAAAAAGTTTAATTAAACATTTCATTTTAAATAATTTCTTTTCAAATAGAGAAATTCATTTTGGATAAGGAAATATGGTCA